TTCTCCGTAAGGGTGCCCATCGCGTTCCCGGACTTCTTCTTGCTACTTCTCCGCTTCCTGATAAAGCGGATGGGAGGCACGTCGAACACAGCGGCAATTTCCCCGAACTCACGTTGAGGGACATCCCTATCCCCAGTGTTAGCAGAAACACTTTGGGAAGACATTTTTCAAAATCTGCAAAAAACCACACATACATACATACAGTCAAACTCTGGGGTTAAGGACCATTAGTCCGACCTCAAAACAAAAATTAAACACTCGAATCGGCATCGGCATGCGATTCTGAGTCCAGAGGTGCCAAGCTCATCAAGAATGGGGGACTGTAAACCCCCCATTGTTCACAGAGCCAAAATTGACGGAAAAACCCTTATTCTGGGTTTCTTCCGACCAAACTACGACAGGCGAAGAACGAGCAAACAGAGCCGGAGACTAACATGGTTGGGGGAGTCGACGGAGGAAACTGAAACTTCGCAAGCAATGACCGGAGAAGATGAGCTCTTGATATGCTTGAAAACTCTGAAAACTCGAATACAAAAGAAAGCGCAAAGGAGAAAGACGAAAGCTTTCGCCTTTTATACTTCCCTTCAAAAATGAACGGGAAGCCTACACGTGGCGCAATACTCTCCAGCCGCCCAAAAAACTCAAAGGTTTTTTCAAAAAGGCGTGCAAATAGGCGCAATGATGGCGCCGTACTGTCACTTCAAACGCCATCCCTCGCATTAAATGCTGAGAAGCGGCTATTAATTCATAATGTTGCAAAAGGAATGTGTAAAGATTCCTATTTGTAAACATCAGCGTTATTACACGCCACAAATTCTCCTAAGTCCACCAAGCGATAAATGCAACTGCCTCGTCCATCTCAAACTCATACTCTTCTGCACTTAGAAAATATTCTAAATCCACAATAGTGGGGGACTGGTAAGTGGGGGACTCAAGAAAGAAATCAAAAAACAGCAAAAACAAGACTACAACAGACAAGCTCAAAACAACGTAGCCACCTCGGGCTCAGCCCCAAATAGATATATCTTCAAGCCACGCACATAGATTAAGATTCCTTACAATTTTTTTTCAAAAATGTTATCAACCCGCGGCCGGGGCCGCGGACGTAGCAACTAACCTATGAGGCAGGTTTGGAACGCGGAATACATGAAGCTCGAGCTCGGACTTCTGTGCAGCGGGGCGTCACTTTCCTCTCCGGACTTCATGGAAAGCGGAGTATACTCTTTTTCCTCCGTTAGGATTTTTTCCCACAGGGTTTTTTCCTCAGCGGAGTTTTTAATGAGGTACCTCTTTGTCATGACCATGGAAGAGCAGCACCCCTCTCGGGCGAACATGCCCAGGAAATTGAAGATTTACTCTCTCTCATCTCAAGTTTCACTTTCGCTTCGGAGAGTGGTGGACTCATAATGGAGTATATTCCCGTATACCCCAGGGGTATCATAATCGCCGGTATAAAATATCACGGACGCATTCTGAAGTACGCAAAATATTAAAGTCCACACTCCAAGGCTGACCCCGACCGCCGAGGTCGGGAAAACACCAAGCTCAAGAATCAATCGAACTCAACGAATGACAAGGCTTTAAAGTCCACACTCCAAGGCTGACCCCGACCGCCGAGGTAGGGAAAACACCAAGCTCAGGAATGAATCGAACTCAACGAATGACAAGGCTTGCAGAGCCCGAGCCCGACCCTGAGGTCGGGAAAACATCAGGCTCAGGGATCAACCGAACTCGGCGACTTATGAGCCCAACCTTGATGCATCCGAGGTCGGGACCAGGTCTGGCCCCGGAAGTCAACAACAGTCAAGCAGTTGGTCAACGACAGTCAAGCATCAGGCAGTTGCAGTGAAACACCTGGGAGGCGAGTCCTCCCATCACGAGCCTAAACTTCTGAGCTCCCAGGTACCGACCTCAGCAAACCCTGAGGTCTAGATAAAGCATCATGGACTTAGACAAAATCCGCAAGGATCTACCCCTCAAGGAGAGACCGCCACGTCACCAGGGAATATTCTCAATAACCCACGCTTAACCACACGAGATTTCTGGCAGCAATTCTGTTAGGAGCACACCAAGCTCAAGAATCAATCGAACTCAACGAATGACAAGGCTTTAAAGTCCACACTCCAAGGCTGACCCTGACCGCCGAGGTAGGGAAAACACCAAGCTCAGGAATAAATCGAACTCAACGAATGACAAGGCTTGCAGAGCCCGACCCCGACCCCGAGGTCAGGAAAACATCAGGCTCAGGGATGAACCGAACTCGGCAACTTATGAGCCCAACCTCGATGCATCCGAGGTCGGGACCAGGTCTGGCCCCGGAAGTCAACAGCAGTCAAGCAGTTGGTCAAAGACAGTCAAACATCAGACAGTTGCAGTGAAACACCTAGGAGGCGAGTCCTCCCATCACGAGCCCAAACTTCTGAGCTCCCAGGTACCGACCTCAGCAAACCCCGAGGTCTGGATAAAGCATCATGGACTTAGAAAAAATCCGCAAGGATCTACCCCTCAAGGAGAGACCGCCACATCACCAGGGAATATTCTCAATTACCCACGCTTAACCACACGAGATTTCTGGCAGCAATTCTGTTTGGAGCACACCAAGCTCAAGAATCAATCGAACTCAACGAATGACAAGGCTTGCAGAGCCCGACCCCGACCCCGAGGTCGGGAAAACATCAGGCTCGGGGATCAACCGAACTCGGCAACTTATGAGCCCAACCTCGATGCATCCGAGGTCGGGACCAGGTCTGGCCCCGGAAGTCAAAAACAGTCAAGCAGTTGGTCAACGACAGTCAAGCATCAGGCAGTTGCAGTGAAACACCTGGGAGGCGAGTCCTCCCATCACGAGCCCAAACTTCTGAGCTCCCAGGTATCGACCTCAGCAAACCCCGAGGTCTGGATAAAGCATCATGGACTTAGACAAAATCCGCAAGGATCTACCCCTCAAGGAGAGACCGCCACATCACCAGGGAATATTCTCAATTACCCACGCTTAACCACACGAGATTTCTGGCAGCAAATTTGTTAGGAGCACACTCCAATTAGCCAGCTGTTGAAGACTCTCTCTCCAATCAGCTTTACACGTGGCTGCTCCCCATCGAATTAGACTGTTAGTTTGTTAGAGTAACTTTACACGTGCCCCCCTCCTATTAGACTAGCATCTTTTTACTTGGGCACCAAGCATTTCTTTTTCTCCTTAGTATAAATATCACCTTCCAACTTGTGGATAGGGATGCTTAATTAATCGCACTCTGAATCCTATACTGTGAGATCGGCAAACCAGTTCACTCTCTCCCTTTCTTCTCTCATTTTGGGTGGATTCCGGCCACCCCTGGTCCGACGATCCATCACAATCCTTACTTCAATAAATTATAGTATTACATTATACACCCAGAGTATAGAGTATATTGTGATAATCTTAGTACAGTTCATGTAGCTCACAATCCAGTCTTTCATTCCAAGACCAAACATATGAAGTTTGATCTATACTTTGTACGAGAAAAGGACTACTCAAAACAACTTGAAGTTCTACATATTCCTGCACTCTATCAAATTGCTGATGTGTTGACCAAACCTCTTTCAAGTACCACATTTCTTAAACTCAAGTCAAAGCTTAATGACGTAATGTGACCGACCTTTCAAAAACAAATACCTGAACTTAAAGGGGGAGTGTTAGGAGTATATGTACAAACGTGTAACTAATCTGAAGCTTAGTTTCTATTAGTTGTAACCTACTGTCTTAGTCAGCATGGTAGTTATAGATTAGTTTCAGATTAGTTTAGCCTTAACTACTATATAAGACTGTGTACATGCTTTCCACATACTATTGAATAATATCTTTCTCTTTCTACATTCAGTTTCTCAATAGACTCAAAGAATAGTGCACGCTGAACAAGGTAGGTAGGGTTAAGAAAGATACCAAACAATATCTTAGAAGAAAGAGAACCCATTCTTCATGCATCACACATCACTTATTGTCCAAATTAAGCTATACTGCTACAGCTATGGGTACTAAAACATGTGCCAATTAATATGATGAAGACCTTCTGTTATTAGTCATTGAAACTGAGTTCAAAACACAAGATCACATTAAACTGATATAGATATCTAAGCTATTAAAAACAGACCAGGATTTTAATGGTTTTTAAAGTCACATTTATTGTTAAAATAAGTGAACTACTCCATCCGCCCAAAACAGAGACTTGTTTGAGTAAGATAGAACTTTTTACTTTTAGTCCACTCAATCAAGGTACAAGAAGACACTTGAACCCCTAAAAATACTTCAAAGATTGTTTGAAGCATACACTAAAATCTCTTGCTGCTTGGCTATACAAGAACTTAAAAGTGAAAGTTAACTTCTCAAAATGGACATTTTTTGGGTCAATAAGAAATCCTTGAAACATAACTTATTTGGTGCGGAGGGAATATTGCATTACCATGTGACAGAAAACATTTCTTGAAATCAGAAGAAGCTGTTGTTGTAATAACTAATCGATTGTACAAGTGTAAGATGAGTATAGGACCTCAAATGATTTGTAAGACTAAGAAGACTCATTTATTGGGTCGAAGACTCTACGTGGAAGAGATTTGATGGTGTTAATGCTATAGAGCAGCTTGATTGGAGTATATGATGCATAAAAAGAAAGCTGATTATCCAGCCAGATCTTGAAGACACTCATGAAGCTTGGATAAAATTTGAACATAATTCAATTTCAGGGCTCTAAAGAGAGCTAATAACAACTTTGAAGAGAAGTGAAGAACAAGTATTTCTAAAATAAAAGGTTATGGACTCATTCACCAATTCAGCAATCCCTAACATACAAAGGAATTCAGAAAAGAAACCCATTTTATCCAGCAATCACCATGACTCACCAAATACTTTAATATGTTCAGATAAATCTCAACTATGTTTGCTGACACTCCCCCTCACTACACATATACGTAGTATACTGTTACAAATGGGCAAATGTTAAAGAAGTCCAAGTACCAAGACTACAAACCTGAGATGTAGGTCTTCCCTTCCCTGAAAAGAATCCAGCTACTAATACAGCAAGTGGTGTAAGCCTTTTGATGGCAATATACATTGGAATATTTACTCCTTTCAAGCTGGCCAATGCAAATGCCACATTTGCATTATAGAACAAGGAAACTAGGAAAAGTTTCTTTGCAGTATCTAAGTTGAATCCTTTGGCTTTAGTGTATCCCAGTACCCTACTGAAGTGAATCAACAAGGTTGATGCTAATTGCTGGTGATTTACATTTTTACAAACAGAAAACAAGGAACCAGGTCAACACCCAAACAAATTTATTCATAATCAAAACGATTAAGCAGCACACAGCACCCAAATCATAAACATTATAGTTTAGACCTGCAAAGTGAGCAGTGTCATTGACTGAGAATATTGCATAAGCACGGCTTTGTTTATGAACACCATAGCCATTGAAGCAATCCCGTAGGAGACCGCAACCAGCAAACTACGAATGAAACATGCAACCATCAAACCAGGTTAGTAGACATCCCTGAGTCACACAATCAATCAAATAACTTCCTACATGCTGATCGGAAATGAAAGAGAACCTGGTAGACTGCCTAGCTTCCATGGTAGCCTTACGAGCAGTGGGCTCCAGTCACTTCACTGACCAAATTCAAAAACACATTTTCATTTTGATAGTAGAAAGCGAGTTACACAGGAGTAGAGGGTATTTCTACGACATTACCCGATAGTTGACTGCGACAGCGTTTTATGAGATCACAGATCACATAGCTTGGATGGGATTTGGGAGAATTGCGTTATGATTCTCTTCATCCAGATAAATGGTCAGACACCTGATCAGTGATCACAAATTCACAACCAGGAAACCGATCCCGTGATTCCCGTCCAGGACCCAGAATGCTAACTGAGCGGACTTAATTGTGATGTTGGGTGATTAGGGCCTAGAAATCAATCCACGTCCAATTGGTTAGTACTTTTACGTGACATAATAGAACATGTTATGCTGATGAACATAACGGATGTATTTATTTATAATAAAAAAAGAGTTTCTAAAAGTTTCATAATATTAAATATGTTATGGCATTTCATCGAGTGTCGGAGGTACAATGCACATGTTGTCTTTTAAAAAAATAAAATTGCTAACTAGAAATATTCTTGGTAAAAATGTCAGCTAGGTGTAGATGGAGTAGCTAGGTCGTCACCCGTAAGCGACGTGACGTCCCTCCGCCTGGGGGTGGTGTCAAATGATCAAGGGCGCGCTACACTTCATAGGCTCTAAGTGTGCTGATAAGAATGCTAAGGTTGCTAGGTCGTCGCCCGGAAGCGACGCGTCACTCCAATGCCCGGGGATGGTGTCAAATATACAAGGGCATGGTGGGGGTCGATGTGGTGTGAAGAAGAAAAGGCAGGGGTGTTAGATTGCATTTTGGGACATGGAATGTTGGCTCTCTTACGGGAAGATCATCTGAGATAGCTGAGGTTATGAATAGGAGGAATATCAGCATAATGTGCATGCAAGAAACTAAGTGGGTTGTAGAAAAGGCACATGAGATTAATCCTAGAGGTTTTAAGCTGTGGTACTTGGGGAGAGAGAGGAACAGAAATGGAGTAGGCATTATGGTGGCACATGATTATGTTGAGGGTGTGGTTGAAGTCTTTAGGAAGAACGATCGCATCATGAGCATTAAGTTGATCATAGGAGATGAGATCGTGTCCGTGGTAAGTGTCTATGCTCCACGAGTGCGATTGGATGCATCTATCACTCAACAATTTTGGGAGGATCTTGAAGAATTGGTGTGACGAGTGCCAATGGGAGAGAAGTTGGTCATAGGAGGCGACCTCAACGGGCATGTGGTCCAAGTTGTGATGGTTTTGAGAGTATCCATGGCGGATATGGCTTTGGCACTAGAAATAAAGCGGGGAAGAACATTTTGGATTTTGTCTCGACATATGAGTTGGTTGTGATGAACACTTAGTTCAAGAAAAAAGACTCTCACCTTGTCACCTATAGAAGTGGAGTTAATAGTATCCAAATTGACTACTTTTTAGTACGGACGACTTGGAGAACTAGCTACACTGATTGTAAGGTTTTCCCAGGTGAGAGTGTTGTCACTCGGTATAGGATGCTTGTGCTGGATTTTCAAGGTAAAAAGAGGAGACAGGTTAAGGTACAAGGGGAGCCAAAGATAAAATGGTGGAGGCTCGAGAGGAATCTCCAACAAATTTTTGCGCACAAAATGTTGGAGGAAGATGTATGGTCTATTGATAATGACGTATATGTGGATGATGTGTGGTTATCAATGGAGTCCACCATTAACAAAGTGGTGAAGGAGATACTCAGAGAATCTAAAGGATGCCTGCCACCAAAAAAGGACATGTCTTGGTGGAATGATGAAGTGAAACAAGCAATAAGGACCAAAAGGGAATGCTATAAGAAATTGGGCAAAAGTTGGAGCGACGAGAACATAAAGGAGTTCAAGGAGGCTCGAAGAAGAGCAAAGAAAGCTGTGAAGGAAGCCAGAGGAAAAGTGAACAAGGAATTATATGTAATGTTGGACTCTAAAGAAGGAGAAAAAGATATATACAGACTTGCTCGCCTTTGTGATCGTAGGACTCATGATATCGGAAAAGTTAAGTGTGTGAAGGATGTCGATCAAAGGGTACTAATGGAGGACAAAGAAATTAAAGAGAGGTGTACGTCATACTTCGATACCTTGTTCAACAGGAATAAAGTGCAAGGTATTGATGATCTTACTATACCAGAGTGTATGGTAAATCGAGAGTTCGTGAGAAGGATTCAAATAACAGAAGTTAAAGAGGCTATGATAAAAATGGAGAGGAAGAAAGCAGTGGGCCCAGATGGCATATCGATCGGGGCTTGGAGAAGTTTGGGAGAGAAAGGCATCGAGTGGCTAACATGTTTCTTCAACATGATTTGGAGAAACAACAAAATGTCAGTGAGTTGGCAGAAGAGTAATCTCATTCCCTTATTTAAAAATAAGGGTGATGACAAGAATGTGCTAACTATCGGGGGATTAAGCTTATGAGTCACACCATGAAACTTTGGGAGCAAGTGGTTGAGCAAAGACTTCGTAAAAGTGTGAAAATTTCGGAGAATCAATTTGGTTTTATGCCTGGAGGCTCAACAACTGAGGCCATTATCCTTCTTACACAAGTTATGGAGAAGTATAGAGACACTAAAAAGGATCTGAATTTGGTGTTCATTGACTTAGAAAAGGCATATGATAGGGTACCTTGAGAAGTCATGTGGTGGGCCTTAACTAGAAAAGGCATATCACGTAAGTATATCAGTATCATCATGGATATGTATGATACTACAAGTGTTCGCACTAGTTTCGGGAGGACCGCAGAGTTCCCTATCACTATCGGAGTGCACCAAGAATCTGCTCTGAGTCCTTTCTTATTTGTTATAGTCATGGATGAACTTACGAAATCAATTCAAGAAGATAAACTGTGGTGATTGATGTTTGTCGACGATATTGTATTGATTGATGAGACACAATCCGGTGTTAAAGCAAAGCTGGAAGTATGGCGACAAACATTGGAGACCAAGGGTTTCGGACTGAGCCGAAGCAAGACTGAGTATATGAAGTGCAAGTTTGGTGCAGGTAGAAGTAGTAGCAACAGTGGGATTACTCTTGATGGGAAGAAGATACCAGTGTGTGATATGTTCCGTTACATGGGTTCCATAATTCAGAAGGATGGTGAATTAGATGGAGATATATGTCATAGAATCAGAGCTAGGTGGATGAAATGGAAGAGTGCTTCAGGATTTCTATGCGATCGAGGTATGCCGACTAGACTGAAGGGTAAATTTTATCGAACAACAATTAGGCCTACATTAATGTATGGCGTGGAGTGTTGGGCGGTGAAGCAATGCCACATTCAAAAGATGAGTGTGGCAGAGATGTGTATGTTGCGTTGGATGTGTGGACATACCAAAAAAGACCGTTTGAGGAATGAGATAATCAGACAAAAAGTGGGAGTAACACCTATAGAAGATAAGATGCAGGAGTCTCGTTTGCGGTGGTTTGGGCATGTGCGTAGAAGACCGAGTGATGCACCTGTTAGACGACTTGAGGGGTGGGGAGAAGAGACAGAGAAAAGAGGGAGGGGAAGACCCAAACAGACTTGGATTAGAGGAATCAGAACTGATATGCGTCTTGTTGGGTTGGATGAGAATATGGATTTGGAGAGAGAAAAGTGGAGGGCGCACATCCGTGTGGACGACTGGTGTCTTTTCTACATTTCCTCTCTTTTTTCTTTTATCGTTTATCTTCTTTATCTTTGTTTATTCTTATGTTATTTTTATATTCTATTTTTTTTATGTTGTTTTTTATCTTTTATCTTTGTTATATTTTTGTGTTATTGTTATCTTATATTTATTTATCTTTATTTTATTTGTTTTATCAGACTTTTTTTCCTTCCTTTTCTTGTCCATCTTCTCTGTTTGGCATCGATATCATTGATCGATTCATGTTAGCCAACCCCAAATTCTTTTGGGATTAAGGCTTGGATGTTGTTGTTGTTGTAGCTGTAGATGGAGTAGGGACATATTTCACCATCAAATCAACATGAGCAACTCTCTCGCGAACAAAGTGATAATTAATCTGGATGTGTTTGCTCCTAGCATGCTGAACAGGGTTAGCAGATAAATAAGAAGCAGAAATATTATCACATGAGAGTTGGACTAGAATATGAATCGGAAAGACAAGTTCGAACAGAACTGATCGGATGTGTAAAGTCCATAACAGTGAATGCAATTGCTCGATATTCTGCCTCAGTGGATGACTTGGACACAGTAGGTTGCTTTTTAGACTTCCAAACACCGGATTAGGACCCAAGAAAACAACAAAACAGTAGTGGAACGAGAGCAACTAAATGAGCCTTGTGACGCTTAATAGACCCCATCAGAGTGAAATTTAGTTTTATAAATCCACTTCGACACAACCACATTTTTAGAGCTATTGAATGGTACCAAATTCCAAGTTTGATGGGTGATAAGACCATTAAATTCATCAGCCATAGCATCACGTCGTCTTAAATGTTTATGAGCCTCCGAAAAACAAGTTGAATCGGCAGATGTAACAACTGTTTGTAAATTAAAAATTGCTTTTGGTTTATAAATTCCAAATTTCGCTCTAATTTGCATAGGATGAAAATTAACCGGGGGTGAGGGAGGTGGTCGAAGGCGTAGGAGGACTTGATGGATGACTAGTGGTATGAGACGAGGTCTGGTCAGAGAGCTGAGGTGACTGGTCAAGGGTCTTGGCAGGTGTATTTAGAGATCTCTAACTATTGTCGAGAAATTTGTTGACTATTAGAGCATCTTTAATGCTACATTTTTAACAGGGAGTAAACTTGACACATGGCAGTTAATAAGTGTGTTGGAGATACTTTAATTGTGAATCAAGTTTGTCATAGATTAGCTTTATTATTATTCCTTGTATTTAATTAGTGCATGTATTAGACAGAATTTGGGCCAAGTGTTAGGCCCATATAACCAGGCTAAAAGCCTTTCACGCCTAACTTAAACCTCGCCTATAAAAAGGGAGCCGAGGGTTTAGGATTAGGTTAACGTCGTACTTATTCATTATAGCCTTACGCGCATATCTTTCTGTTGTACGAGTTCACGGTCTATCAAAGAGGGTTTTACATTGATTCAATCTGTGTTCATCCTTACGTTTAATCTTCTTTGTTAGATTGTTATTCATTGTTGTTACAGAAACAGGGACTATCAATTGGTATCAGAGCCGATCAGAAGAACGCCTGCAGAAGACTCTGTTTTTTCTTTACGTTGTTCTTACGGTCGATATTTCACTCTGTAATCTTGTTTCTTGTTCAAAAGTTGTAAAAGTTACACCCTTAGAATCGTATTTTCAAAGCGATCAAGGGGTATACTTCAGATTTCGTTTTACGCATATTCTGTACTTGAGATATTTCGAGTAGGCCTTGTCGACATATAGGTTT